AAGGTGAACGAAATGTACCGGTTCTGCAAAACCGAACTCGCTGATATAGATACCTCCAGGCGTCGGGTATGTTTTGGTCAGCCAGTTCAGCTGATACCTTAACCATTGAGATGTATCGGCCAACCTATAGAATCTGTTTTAATAATCCTGGCACGAGATAAGTGATGAGAGAAGCCAACCAAGGACTGAGTGGGTCGGCTGCGGCACCAACTGCCCAACCACTTTGTGTTGAGTATTGCGAAACATTATCGCTGATATCCTGACAGACTTTGTCCAGTTTTATCTTAGCATTTTATAAGAGTCTCGATGACCAAAACACCTACTGGGCCAATTTGGATCATTGACGTTTGAGGCACATGCTTCGATACCGTTCGGAGGTGTCTTTGCCACGATCGTAGCATATGAATCTAGCAACTTGAGATTAATTTCGCTGAGACGTAGATATAGAATGGCTAAAATTGTCACCTATGGCATAGAAATCGGCACTTCCTTTGATGATCTTCTTTTCATCGTCAGTAAATCGCCTTAAGATACTAGCTGGGATTGTATCCAAAACACGCTTGGGGTAGTTGCCATCAACTAGAGAAGATATCAGTATATATTAATCGATATAGGTAGTAGAATGAAACATACCATAGATAGGCTGAGAGAATATACCAATATAGATATCAGCACGACGTTCAACGACCTCGCGGTCGCTTGCACTGTTAGAATCAAAGGGGATCTTCACCGAGGAATTCAATATTACAAATATGACTCAAGTTCATATCATTTAATACGTACCGGTCTTTGACCGTCGTGCTTCAGGGCGATCTTTCCCTTGGCTATCTTCCCTTCAGATATCAAACCGCGATACGTTTGTACTGCAACGGCGTGAGCCTTGATGAGCTATAGGAAAAAGGTGTTAGATGCAAAACTATGTTTGAAAAGCGGGACATACATTGGGGACGCAGGTGTATGGAGCAGTTGTCGCGTTGATTCCACCTGTATACAGAGAGTTATACGGATATGCCTGGGGCTGAATAAGGAATTGACTTCCATCATAACGTAACACTAGAACGTACCGCGTACTGATCACAATAAACCTGCGTGCAAAGATCTATGAATACGCAGGAAGTGACATATTGAGAACATGTCACCTACATGAGGTTCGTTAAAGGTAAACCAAGTCTTCACTTTCTTCCCGTAGCGCTGGAAGGCTATTGAGGCGTAGTTGTCGAAGTCCTCTACTATACTGTTGTTGAGGAATGCTCCGTACTGAGACATGAGATTGAGCGGTGTATCCCTATAGTAAATGTTGTTAGTTAATTCCCGAATCGTATTGGAGGTATTTACCAATGGAATAATGTAGCCACGGGCTCAATCCCGTTCTTCAACAACTCATCGATGAAATTGTCATACTTGGGTGAAGAAAAGCATGAAGTTAGTATGAGGATAGTCGAAAGAGAGACTAAGAAAACGTACAAACTGAAGACCTTCTTCGCTTACGGGACTGCCTCTATGACCGAAGGGAAGGATCCTGGCCCAGGCAATTGAGAAGCTGAAGGCGTTGACTCCCATAGCTTTGACTCGTTGGATGTCTTGCTTGTATTGATAATATTCGTTGACGGTCACGTCCGGGACTTCATTGTTGCAAACTGTGATATTGTTGTGGCATCCCCAATCCCAGTTACTTTCAAAAGCAAATATTAGCACGGGTCTTAGAAAGGGTTTTCATTGATATTTACCTTGGTCCGCGTCCGCCTTCTTTGACTGCACCCTCAACCTGAGTAGCTGCTGTAGAAACCCCGTACAGAAAGCCTTTTGGAAGCTCGATATTCTGCGTAGTAGCTTGCAAATATGCTGGTCTAAATCGAGGGGGCTCAGGTCCGACAGAGAAGTTTGCAAGAGGTTCGAGGACCCGAGTGACGTTTGCCTTCACAACTGGTACGCCGCCCTGCTCAACAGATTGCCATACTGGAAGTAATTGTGAGTCGTGACCTGAACGAGGACTGGGACAACTCACAGCGATCTAAGTCCGTCTGGCTATACCCTGACGTCACAGGTGCTGGAAGTGATTGGGCGTGTGTAAGTTGGGTCAAACATCCCGAAAGAATAACAGCTTCCAAGAATTTGGACCACATAGCGTCCTGCTCAACCTCGACGGGTTGCCAAGTATTCGTAGAGTAAGATACGCACAATTTATACGAGACCTACTGGACAATGGCGGTCCGAAACGCATCCTGCAAAATGTGTATATCAAGCGTCAGCTGATACGCACGGCGAGCCGCGAACTAGAATATGTGAAGAAACAACGAAAATATAATAGACAATGTAGGACACATGCCATTGCGTAAGAGTTCAGCAGCGTTCACTGTTGATATTCCACAATCTGATAGAATAGTATTTCCTGATAAAAGGCTCACCAATACATCTTCGGGAGTCGGATGACTTTACATGAAGAAGGGGAGGGCATCGTCTTACTAAATCGGACCGGATAGTAACGTCCATTCGTATGCAACGAAGGTTCGATGACGAACGGTGTGTGACTACATCAAGGCCGACGAAGCGTGAAGGTAGGGTCGGGGCGGGCCACATAGTTCACGTGTCATGAGGGGAGATATGAGAGTACAATCTAGGGTGGGGGATGCGTTGTAAGATAGTGCTTCTAGCTTTCACCAGACGAAACCCAGAAGCTGCAGGTTGCACCTAACGTCCTCCAGTGAATGATATATGTTCACTGTCAGAGAGCAGTGTAATCCATGACGATTGCCAATAGGAGATAGCTTGACACTAGATATGAGTACAACAGAAAAGCGAATAAATAAATCCAGATGGAAGTCCTTTGTACCGAGTAAGCGAATTGTTACTCGAACTGTATAGATGAGCATGTTTAAAGATATCCAGGGTTATACCCATAACCACCAGTAGGTGATTGGGTGTTGAAACCTGGGCCTGGACCGTAGAAGCTACTTGCTGCTCCACCCGAATGATAAGGATGAGTAGGTGGTGCTGCAAATGGTCCCGGTGAAGGCGGGGGTGGAACAGGGAAGCTGGGGCCAGAACCTCCAGGAAAGGAGGGTGATGAATATGGGAAAGAGTCATCATATCGAATTGAAGGAGGGAAAGGGTCATTAGTCCCGAATGCGGATGATTGAGGACGAATATGGGACGAGCCAGGCGAAGAACCTGTAGGACGTGTGTGCTTGTTTGGAGCCGGAGGTTTATCGGAATCTGAGGTGAATTACCAAGTTAGATGCAAACAGGCGATTTGAATCAGTAAATAAAACCTTTCTTATGTTTCTTGTCATCTTTCTTGTCTTTCTTATCCTTCTTATCGTCCTTCTTCGGCTTTGCGTTGGCCACAGGTATGGGCGGCTTATCCCTACCGTATTTACTAGGCTTTGACGTCAACCCAGATTCAGCCCTTGGCCGAAGCTCAGGCATATCGATCTTGCTCAAGTGAATCATAAGACTGGAAGGTGGTTTATATCCTTTTGACCCGGTAGGTGTCGGATCGTCAAGGTTAATACGTTTCGGTCCTTTCGATTTCCCACTGTGGGCATCGTATACAACGTACTGGAACAGGTCTTCGCTTTCCGCCAGGCCTAAACGTGGTCAACCAAATGTTCATTTCAACGTGCAAAAATTAACATACCAGACTTGTGGCGCAGTCGTTTCGTCTGTTCTACCACCTGCAAAACCTTTGGCACTTGCGCCGCAGACGCAGACCGTATTGTGACAAAGAGCATCGCCTCGTCCTGACATTCCATTGCTATGTCAAAATAAAGCGTCATAGCCACAGCAGCAGTCCTCACCTTCAGCAAGCCCTCCGCATACCTCGCATAGTCATCGATACCGCCTTCTACCCCGATCTCGACTTCATTCGCTTCGCCCACACCCTGCAGTGTTCTAATCATGTGTAATTCTGCGACACGTTCCACACCAGTTTTCGGAGCAGGCTTTGGAGGTATCATAGGAGGAGGACCATGACTCTGTGGAGGCAAATTGCTTGATGTAGACGGTACATTCGCCTCTAATCCCGGCGTGGTGGGTTTAGTGGAGGCGGTAACCGTGGGAGGGGTCGGTGTAGGTGCATGGTAGGCATCGTTAGTGTCTTGGAATGTCAGTAGAGCGGTCAGCATGACGATCTCCAGCCCTTTCCGGTCGTTGATATCGAACCTGTAAAACATTACATTTCAGGATGTAGAGTATCATTTGGGGAAAGAACATACCGATTGAGATTGTAATCGAGTATTTGTACGGTAGATGTCCTCAGTCTGCCAGGAGGCTCCTTCGTGACCGCAACCAGCACCGCAGGATCAGGTTTACGTAGAATGTAACACTCTTCACGTTTCCATTCAAACTCGTGCCTATAAACAATGAGTACAGATACCGTTAGTAAAGATATAGGGTTGTCGAGTACTGAGGTCGTACATACTCCTCCCATTTGAATCTCCATTTGAATGAGATCGTGCCTGAATACTTTAGTTCCACGACAGACGACGGATTGTGCAGCTCGATCGTCTTGTGCTTGCTCGTTGCATTAGGTGCTGTAGCAGTTGCTAATAGAGACTCTGACAAAGGATCTATAAGACAGTTATATGCGATATTCTGTTAAAGGTTTCGTTAATTATGCGTACCGTAGACATTTATCTTGTACACATTTCCGGGTACCCTTGCCTTTCTGTAATGCGCATTCCCAGATGGATCTGTCAAGTCTAGCACATTAGGATCGTCTTTGCTGGGTTCAATGTTCAGAGTAAATAGGTTCTGGTCCAGGCTCATCGTAGTAAACAGGAAAGAAAGGCGCAGCGTTCCTGTGGCAATGCTAGGTTTTAACGGTCTGATTAGGGATCAAAAATTGGACTGGTTAATTGTCAGGATTCAAGAATCGTCTCTGGGTAAATCATGAGTGTCATGTGCAACAATGCATCACAGACGTATTGGTCTGAGGTTAGTGGTAGAGGGTGTCTATTTCGAAGAGTTTTCAGTTGAGACCAAGGATTATCAAAAATAAACTCCGATACGGGGAATCGAACCCCGAGCTACCGCGAACGGATGTGACCTTGAAAGGCGGTAATGTTAGCCTTTACACCATATCGGATTGTACAGAAAGACCAAGTAAGGCAGTATATTCCCCCACTGTGTGGCCATTTCCAATGATCCCAGGATTCTCAGCTGCTCACCGGCAAGGTAATGGGTATCGCGACTTAAAGAAAGTGGAAGAATTGAGACATTCATTCAATGGTTCAGAAAACCGATTGACTCGCACTAGCACCTACATACATCTCTATGGTATTAGAAGCCTGTCAGATGCAATTCTGAACTTGAATCACAGCAAAAACGATTTTAACTTTCAACACATGTCCTATCAGTGTATCACACATTCAAGTTTCTGTCGTGAAGGCTCCACATTACTTGAAGTCATGCTTATTATAGCTCGGACTATGTCTTATATTGATACGACGATCTAGAATCCGAGCTAGTGCTATCGAACCCGTACCATGACTGTAGTGACTTGGAAGACTCCCATCTTCGAAGTTCGCAACGAACAGCGCCCTGACGTTGTGCCACCGTTTGTTAATAGACCGAGGATCCACTTGACTATTCTGGGACGATTCGGTCCAGGAGAGGTGAGAGCGTTCAACGAAAGATGGATATAGTGAAGCAACGCTCATTGCTACTACTCGGTGAGAATTTTGTAATGTCTATACCAGATACAATACTGTACTTGTTTCCCATTTGTGATGGTAGACTGTACAGACATAAAAGAGGCATCTCTACATGACTAACCTAAGAACGCGACAAGACTTAGATCCAGAGTTCGAACTTCCAAATCGGAAGAAGACGAGTAAGCTCAAGGTTCTGTCAAGTGCCACCAACCCAACCTGGGCTCTTGACAGGCTGACGATATATTCTCAGCATAGCGTCCTTGGATGACAAGGACCGAACCTTCCCGAAGATGTGGGACTGATGTACCGAGAGCAGTAAGCATCGTCGAGACCTATTTATCACGCATCAAGCGCGACCAGTACCACCAACAGCGTGTGTGGAAGTAGAACGGAACTTGCACATGACCGCGTTACAAGCAATATATGTATTCTGTCAGAATATTGTTTGCGGTGTTAGAAAATGGAGATCGTAGGCATGGGCGAGGTTTCAGTGCGCGAGATATTCTATGTTTGTTTTGGTTAGCTTCGGAGTGTGAAAAACTGCAAACCAGTATGAATGCCGCTAAAATTCCGTTTCCAGACCCACACCACACCGAGAAGTAGCAAGACAAATGCTAGGGTTTTTCAGCAGAATGCCAGCCACAGGAGGTACCGGCCCCCTCTCTTAGCACGTATCCGTCAGGTCGGAGTCTTCAGTTTGCACAGCAGGATACGCCACAGTCAACTTGAAGCAAGACATAGAACAGAATTGTGAACTCTAGACTCGTCTCGGCCTGAAAGGTGTTTTCGGACGTTCAGTTTGTGTTCAGTGGACAAAAACTGTGATTTGAGGCGAATGCAGCGGACATTCTCGGCTGCCGTACGTCGATCCGCTTGAAGGAATAGGATAAGAAAACCCAACTAATTCCTTCAAGAATTACTGTCCGGCATCGCCGAAGTCGGGATCTTATTGAGCGCGGCGTTCAGTAGATTGCCTCTAGAGGACCTGCAATTAAGTTTCAACATAGTAAGTAGTGTTGTTTAATGCAACAATGAAATCACAGGCTGGGAAAAGAAATTACAAAACATATGCCTCCGAGTTCATTGAGCATGTGATAAGATTGGGATCGATAAGCAACTCGGAGTCGAAAACGCTCGGTGGCGTTGATACGGTGTCGATCGTAGTTCCTGCAGGGGCCAAATAATCTAAGCATAATCGGAAGATTGGTCCCGTCGATGTTCACCTCTTCAGGTACGCTATAATCGAGACCAAGTGGAAGTGGGGAATGTGGAGTCGCTTGTGGGAGGTGTTGTTACGGGGAGATAATTACTTATGATTACTAGAAAGTCGAGAATACTATACTTAGATGATGTGCATGAGCACATAGTGGAGTGACCCTAAACACTGCTTTGTGGGTCCACCTAAATTATAAACTGCGCACCCTTCCGGGCGTTTCAAGACAAACTTGGCCGGCTGGGTCAAGCCGAGCCCACTCTTTTATCTGCGCTTTTCGGATGAACAGTGTAAAAAAGAACTAAAAAAATGCAACCAAGTTCACCAAGCACAGGTCGAACCGAAGTGGACCCACCGGTGTGGAAATGGTGGGTTGATGACATGTTTGCTCCGATCGACCCACGGCTGTCTGCGCCCAATTAGACTGGCGAAAGACAGTTACCTAGAAACAGAGACTCGTGGATCAGATAGAGTGTGATGCTTTTTAGGCGCATCGACGCGGATATGTTGCTTTTGAATAGGAGATGATCCATGAGGCAAGAGAACCTTCATACGTCCTGTGAATGTGAGAGTCAGGAGTCATACGACCGAATTTGGGATTGTGGCGGTTGTTGTAGGCTCGCCACACGAATGTGAGAGCTGGCATTCGGATGTATCGGCACGAAGGGATGCTTACCGACAGCCATAAGGTCGGTAGCCAACACCAGCAAGTGAAAAGTCGGGACTTGATGGTTGGTTCCGAAGGTGACTACTCGCTTCGTCTCGTTAATCGGGAATATACTTTGTGATGAGGTCATGGTAACATTCCGGATCACGATGAGAAAGACATTTGCAACGGTGCGAGTTCGCGAGTTTGAATCTGAAGGTGTCGCGTTAAATGAACGAGCTCCGGAGCCAGGTGATGATACTCACATTGCAAAGGTACCTCCGACCGAAAGACGATTGGATCTCTCCGTAGCGTGTGCGCTCACTGTTAAAGTCTATAAAAAAGCCCGTTTATTCCGCACGCCATGTCGTAAGCACCCGTCGGTCTCTGCTTTATCCGATGACATTAGGCGGGATGCTGTGCTTTGCCGACGTGGTTGAATTTGAACGTATTCCAAATCGGGCGATTACATGTCCCAATTAGGACACTATATGCCCAAATATGGAGTAGTGATTTTTACGGATGAAACATTCGCACTAACGCCGGATCGTTCGGATTGGCTTCGTGAACAATAGCGTTTCTGAAACACGGCGACCGATGGGAGGAAAGCGTGCTCCGAGCCCTGTACTGTGTTAAGCTCAAAGTCTACGGGAATGTCTATTCAAGGTGGTAAAAAATTGATAAATTTACCATGCGGATCGATGATAATTCATTGGCATTCAGCATGGCAATATGTTTCTATGACAGATAGAGCCAATGTCAATGTTGCTTGATGCTGAGAGAGGATTGATACATAGGCCGCCCATAAAGTAACGTAGATGCCACAATAAGAATACTAAGAAAAGGTGTTGACATCGAAGGGAGGCTTTTGGCAGGAAATCTGCCGGTCCGAAGGGCAAGGATACAGGTGCAGCGGACGAAATGGGTCGAAATTTGATTGTGGCGCAAAGAGGAACGGAACCGCTCAAGAACCAGGTAACATCTCCACTGACAACATAGGAGTCGGCGTTATTCAGGTGGAGATGGTCTTGCAGAATTTCTTAGAATTGCAGGGCAGAAAGAATACAAAGACAACAGGATGAGGTGGCAAACGGTTGCCAGCTGTTCTCCAGCACCAAGCGCCGGAGGTTTCCAACTGTTTCCAGGGACGGGAATCCCGATGGGATCTAGCTATTCATGCCGGCGTCCGATTCGGATCTGGCTCCCGGCAAGAGATGCGATGAAGCTGCGAATTTCACACCGTGACACAACACGTTCCCCGCCATGTAGGACCTATATATTCAACCAGCCTCCAGAGCTTACCATCCCCACCCCCGTCGACGCCGTCTCAGACGACAACAGCTCCAGTAATAACGGCGACTACGACAATGTACTCTCAATACTCTCCTCTCTTCACTTCAGGCTTCCTCTCAGATTCGCCGTCCAGCTCAAGAGCACCTTCACCCCTCTACCTCTCTCACAAGGACAACCATGACAGTCTGCCATTGACTGTCAACACGAGGATGTCTGATATCTATGCAGGTGCCGAGTCAAGTCGGACGCCTGAGGACGTTGAGGCCTTGTTCCTCACCTTCAGGCCCCATCGCAAGCAGGTTGAAGAGGGTTTATCATTCCTCTCCTTGGATCTTGCTGAATCGCAATCCATGCGTTCGATGAGCTTGAGGCGTAAAGATACTGTAACCACCAGAGCGACTACTGCTTTCGGTCGGTCAGAACCTTCTTCGCCTTCACATTTACCTATATCTCCTATTGCGTGAGTGATCAACGTTTACTAAAAAAAGTTTTTATTAATTTTTTTCGCTGCAGAAAACGCTCTCAATTTGCTCCTGTTCTCCCTCCGATCTCTCCAGTTTCCTCTCTTCGCAGGTCGTCTCGTGAGACGTTGCTTCCATCTCCTAAGCCAGCGCCCTCCACTTCACTACCAGAACCACCTGCTTCCGTGGCACCAACTCAACATCGCAAAAAACCTTCTAATCTGACGTTGACTCTTTCGGATTGCTTCGCTGAAGCAGGTCCTTCCTCGACAACGTCTGTCACTTCTCCTTTCCATCGTCCTTCCTATTCTGCTCCATCAGTCTTCTCGCCGCTGTCGCCCCCGCTTCGATCTTCTCCCATCCTGTCACCGAACCATGAACGCTCGTACTTCACGTTCTCGCCTACTTCTCCCACTGTCACATCCTATCAGTTCCCACCGCCACCATGTGCACCGTCGACCGCAGAGCCCAAACCTACCGCTGCGTTGAAGGCTTCGCTTTCGATGCGTTCCACTGCAACTGTCAACACGCGCCAACGCAATCGGTCTGCAGCATTGGCAGCTTTGGAGGGACGTGGTCACCAAAAGCGTCGTTCTCGTCCTCGTAACTTTATGAGTATGAGCGATGACGAGGACGAGGATGTTGACGAAGAGGCTCTCGAAAAGGATGTTCAAAAGAAGTTGCTTTCTGTGCTTGATGAGGAGGAAGATGTTGTCATCCCTAAACGAAAGACCCCATCTGCCAAGTCAACGCCGGTCCCGAACTCGAAGCGCAATAGTGTCAGCGCGTCTGCGAAGACGTCCTCTTCTGGCAGCAAGA